ATGGTGGTTTGGCAGCTTGGGAACCAGCTGGAGCAGAAAAGTGGTTGGAGGTAGGCTCCTGTAAATATTGGCATGTATTATGCAAGGGAAAATTGTTTCCACTTAAAAAAACTCARATCCATAAAAGAACTACTGATGGGTTTGTTTCTCATTATCTCAGATGATTGTAGAGTACACAGACTACATAATTGAGCTCTATCAAAGATGCATCTATGTCTTCCCCTGAATGCACTTTATTTTACAGATTGAACAATAATTTGGATCCATAAATCATTTGTGTCCTTGAAAAGAGATAAATCTAATCTGACAAAGGAATAAATATGTTGAAATAGTCATGACCTATATATATATATAGAATTATTTCTCCTTGTCTAGACCATACTAATTAACATGTAGATTAACTTGAAACAGATTTGCCACCTAGTTTTATGATTGTAAACTGTCCTTAATAAGTACTAATTGAAATTTTGCTTTTTTTTCACAGCTGCTTAATCCTACAGAATTCTTTGCTGACATTGTTATTGAGCATGAGTATGTGTTCTGAATTTTTTTTTTTTTTTTGTTCTTCAACTTGTTCTTTTATACTGTGTAGAATTTCCTTAAGACTAAAAAGAATGTGATTCCAGGTATGTTGAATGCACTGGGTCGGCAATCCAAGCCTTGGTACTATTTATGAAGTTATATCCAGGCTATAGAATGAAAGAAATAGAAAGTTTCATCTCAAAAGCAGTACATTTTCTCGAGCAAACACAAATGCCYGATGGTTCATGGTACACTTTCATTCTATGTTTGCAAGAACCACAGAAATGTTATATATTGTTAAATATTAGTTTTATTTCAGATCATATTCTACCCAATATTAAGAAAAAAACAGGAGGTATTCTATTGACTGACAAGAATATATGCAACAGGTATGGAAATTGGGGAGTTTGCTTTACCTATGGCACATGGTTTGCACTAGGGGGTCTAGCAGCAGCAGGAAAGACCTATTACAATAGTCYAGCAGTTTGTAAAGCTGTCAATTTTCTGTTAACAACACAGCAAGAATCTGGTGGTTGGGGAGAGAGTTATCTTTCATGCCCAAATAAGGTATATTTGTAAAGATCTCTTGTTTATTTTTGTTATAGGTTTATYCATTTAGAAGAGATATTTTAGTAGGCAATGTATTTCCAAACATTCAAAAACAAATTAAACAGAAATGTGGGGGAAGTACCTTCAAATTTAGTGAAGAGTAGTATGAAAATCTCAAAATGGTAGACCCAAAATCTTGATGTTTTGTCTCATAYGTTTCTGGGTGTGTCTTGTGAAACAGGAATACACTCCTCTAGAAGGTAGTAGATCAAATTTAGTG